TGCACAGAATACAAATAGATGTGCAAGTAGTACATGTGGGTAGGGGGTGATTTTAATGGTAGGAGATAGAATGCAGGACCAGCAGATAGCAATTGTTCCCTTCATCACAGAGAGAACTGAACCCTACTTTGCCTCTCTTTTGCCTGAGAAATGGCCCACAATCCTATGTGCAAGGCTGTATTTCAAAGGCACAATTAAATCTGCGTCATGCGCTTGCTGCCTGATTTGGTCAGTCAGAAAAGGGAAATGTATGCTCTTCGGCTAACTGGTGGTAGTAGTGTCTCTTGTGGCAACTGCGACAGTTAGTTCTCGCCTGCCGACCCTGGTGCAAAACATAGAGTGCATTTGTAGAATGCGATTTCGTATAGCGGCACGGTTCTCAAGCCAAGGAGAGAAAGGGGAGAAAACAAAGTGTAATTCACAAGCAACACTTTGACTGTTTGTCAAATCTCACACTAGCACAATACATGATGACACTCTCAAGCCATCTTTCTCCACTCACACAACTCGACACCCATGAAAGAAGGAAATAACCACCATGCAATTGTGGGAGGAAATTAGAAGGAGTGAGGTGTATCGAAGAAGAAAAGGAAACGTAAATTTCAGCTGTCACACTGGCAAATTATCTGCTTTCAATCATCACAGACGTCGGCACGTCAATGGTTGGCAATTCCATGCAGTCATTTGGGCACTCCTCTCTCATCATTGCGCCCGTTGACGCCACCAACGATTGCGTGCAGATTCAAACTTGTACGCATTTCTTACGCCTAGGTGCAACTCCTTCCATCCAACAATGCTGCACCTTTCCTACAAACACAATCCCATGTTATTAGAGGCACCTAACTCGTGCGCAGCATAAGCGTTGACGCAAACATGACTTTTGTGTGAAGGCTTATGAAGGAGCTATGGAGGTACATATCGCTAATGCTCACGAACCGACGAGGCAGTCATTCATCCACACCTCACTTCTCAATTGCCGCCATCAATTCATCATCCCTCATGACCCTTTCTCCTACTTGAAGACATGAGGAGGTCAGTTAGATTCGCCCTCATGCCAATTGGCATCGCGCAGCATGAAATGCAGAATTGGCGATTGTCAGTGTATCAAAATGGAGGCACCACACTGTGTGAGAGCTGTGGGTGAGCATGCGTGAGTATGGGTGTGAGTGGCGGCAAACTGACAGTGAGAGCACTCGACATGACGCCCTCTGCCACTCTACATGTCGCCCACACTCGAGCACACACTTCATTTGAACAGAGGTGCAACCGCTTGGAGGTGTACTTCTCACCCTCCACCGAAGCCAATTTGATGCAGAAGATGTGTTGTGTAGTAGTCTGCATGTAGTTGCCACTCAGTGACGCACCGGCACTTGCAGTGTCTGAGAGCGGATACTTGAGATCTGTGCGCTAAAGTCGCACAGTCGCTCTCAAATTGAAATGCTCTCAAGTGTTTCTTGCACCCTCTGTTCTTAGTGCTGCACTGCCCGTTGGTAGTGCCAAACCATCCCCTACACCGCAAAACCGCATGCATGCCACGGACACATCCACTGCATGGCTCTCTCCGTGGCAGATAGAATCGTGTCACCACTTTTATTGCCCACAGTAGACACCCTCCTTCCACGCACTTCCTGTTTGAGGATGCGCCAAAGCAATCCAAGTGACTGATTTGTTGGCAGGAACACACCTGTCGACACGAGGTATCGGCAGGAATAAGGTGCTGCATGGCACTGATTGATTCCAGCACATGTTAAATGCGAAGATTGAAGCGAACGATCGCCAACTTACCATAGCCAAAGCTATGTCACCACCCCTGCTACATATGACTCTTCTCTTCATCATGCTATTCTTTCTCAATATCATCCTACTTTACCCACACTTTAATTTCCATCGCATAGTCATGACAGCAAGGGATTAGCAGGTGGGTGAAGAAGTGGAGAAAAGGCAAGATGGAAGGATGGAGGGAAGGGATGAGGGAGGGAGGGAGGGAGGGAGGGAGGGAGGGGTGATTACTTGAGGGACGAATGAAAAATGGAGTACCACAGCGCCAGAATTATTTGAATGAATTTCAGTTGCTTGCACAGACACCGTACTGTTATGCAGCCCCCACCTCACCACTTCGTGCTCTCTTCTGTCTACTCTCACCTCCTTTCCTTCCACAGCCCTGCACACCCAACCACTCCTTCCACCCCTTTGCATGAACAGTGATTCTTCTCCATGAATAAGGGAGGAACTGCCATGTGCTAGTCCCGGCTTCTCTCCACTACCCTTGGTATCCCACCCCACTCCATGTACTATTCGCTAATCCCCTTCTACTTTGTGCAGTCTCATCTCCTGCCTTCTTTTCCGCAACGTAGAGTAGAGGGTGGGTGGACAAATGAATGGGTAGACTCAATGCGCGAACCTGCTGGTCGAAAAGAATATGGGTGATAAACACACAATTAGTGGATCACGTCTGTACACTCCTGCGCACCACATGGTCCTAATCAGATGTGCAACCTCACATGCGGAGACGATGACACTGCAGTTGCATTGGATATGGCGGCTCGAATGTGATGAGTGGATGAGCCTAAGTGTTGCATTTCAAATTGCCTGATGCAGGTTGGCGTGGAGGGCTTGGTGTTGCAGCACATCACGGAAGTAAATTCACTTAGGTGCTTTGGCCATTCAGGTGGACCAAAGTGGACAGACAAACCGAATTTCCCAAAGGTTTAATTTGGCAGTCAAAGTGTATGCTTGTTCTGATGGTGGGAGAGTGTTGTCTTCATTCTCACCAAACGTGCTGTGTGCAACGGAAGCTCGAATTTCCAGCAATGCAGCGTCGCCACTGTCGATGCTCTGAGGCAGTTGGAGAGCGAGTCAGCATGATGTGGTGCGCAAGTGTGTGCAGGTGGGAGTGAGATCACCAATCTGCGTGACGTGTGTAAAATGGGAGCGTAAGAAGTGATGTCATCTGGAGCTCGTGAAATGACACCCACGCGTCGATGCAGACTATAAAATGAGCAGACGCCTGAAAGGAGTATACGGAGTCGAGTGTCACAATGCAGTTCTTTAAAATTCTTTTTGCTCTGGCTGTCGCCTTTAGTGCGTATGCTGAAGATG